TGGGGGGATGCCTCCTTTGGGGGAGGCCTGGCTGAGTTCTACGAAGCGCAGCCTGCCTTAGGCGGGCTCCCTGGGATGGGATGGGCAGCGGTCCATGGGACCTTCTGGGGGGGTTGGCTGGGGATGATGGGCAGCTAGTGGGTGCGAATCCTTGGTGCTCCCTGAGCTGGGTTGCTCGCCTGCAGACGTTGCATTGCCCAACCGAAGAGAGCTTGGTGCCGGTGTCGCCGCCAGGTCGGCTTGCAGTAAGGCCGCCTTCATCTGCTTGATCGCAGAATGACCTGGCGTGTATTACTGAGACCTGGCTGGGCCAAAATTGGGGATGTGGGGGGGTGCCCTTTTCGGAAATGTGCCCAGCCGGGTTTCGGTGCTGCAGGGGTGGGGGGTGGCGGTTGTCCTCCGGGAGCCCCTTAGGGCTTTCAGGGGCGCTGCTGGATGTGAGACCCTGTTCCTTAAGCTGGGCTCAAGGGGCCGGTTGGGACTGTTGCTGCGGCGGCAGCCTCCCTGCCGGAGCTCCTCGGCTCCATCTCCGGGCTGGCATGGAGTTCACCAGGCTTATGACCCTGGGGAACTTCAACCTGCCTTCCTCGGGATGGAGTCAGAGGTAGCCCTGGAATTCACCCAGGGCCCAACGCGGGCAGCGGTCACACGCTTGATCTGGTTTTCTTGTTGGAGCAGTGGCAACGTGCTCTGGAATGGGGGGAGCTCTCTGGGGCCCTCCTGTCATGCTCTGATCATGCCCCATGGGATTTTCTGGTGCTACCCCCCACCACAGGCAGGCAGGACCCATTCAAACGGTCCACCCCTGGCAACTGATGGACTCTGAGGGGTTTATTCCTGAGGGTCTGCTGCACGGTCCACCTGAAGCCCTGGTTGTTGCCTGGAATAGGTGGGTGACTGAGGCCTTGGATCAGATCGTGCCCATGCGGCCTCTCTCCTTTCATGGCTCTTGTCACTCGTCATGGAAGAGCTGAGGGGGAAGAAGCAAATTAAGAGATGCTGCTGGTGGAGAACAAAGAATGAACTAGACCAAACACGGGCAAGAACCACTATTAAGGCCTACCTTGTGGCAGTAAGGGCGACAAAGCGTCAGTACTTCTCCGCCCTTATTGCGTCCATGGAGTCTGTGACTGGCGGCCCTGTTTAGGGTGACCAGAGCCCTCTTGGGTGGAGGGGACTCTGGGATACGCCATCAGAGCCGCGCAGAGGAGTTTGCAAAGCATCTGTTGGACAAAATTGCTTGGATTCATTCCCAGCTGGACACTGGCCTTGGTACAGGTCCTGTGGAGATCCCTGGGGCACAGTCTTGCCATGTTATATCGGAGGAGTTTGAACCTGTTGAGCCCGTGGAAGCAGGCAGGGTCCTTATGACTGTGAGCTTGGCCACCTGCTTAATAGATCCATGCCCTTCCTGGTTGGCAAAAGCATTCAGGGAGGTGACATGTGGCTGGGTTTCAGTATGGCTTTTAACTGTTGAATTGTTTTTAATGTTTGAATTGCTTATATGGCTGTTTTATTTTTTTTATTTTTTGGTACTGTTAATTGTAAGCCTCCCAAAGTCACAACTGTGAGATGGGTGGCTATATAAATTGAATAAATAAATAAATAAATCAGCGCAAGAGAGAGTAGGTTTGCTGCCTGTTTATATGCTGCAGCTTCCCCTGTCACTTTTCATGGTTTCCTCCTTGGTTGGTTCCTTGATTAGAGTACAGGTAGTCCTCACTTACTGATCACTCGTTCAGTGACCGTTTGAGGTTATGATAACACTGGAAAAGGAAACTTACAACTGGTCCTCGAAGTTGTGGCCGTCACAGCATCCCCACAGTCACGTGATCGCAATTCGGGTGCTTGGCAACTGGTGTGCATTTACAGTGATAGCAGCATCCAACGGTCACGTGATCGCCATTTGGAACCTTTGCAGCTGGCTTCTGACAAGAAAAGTCAATGAGGAAGTCACAAGTTGTGGCTGGAACTGACATCGTAAGTCAGCATGGTCGTGTGACATTTCATTTTATGACCACATCACTTAGCGACAGAGTTGCCAGTTCCAGTTGCAGTCAGTAAGTGAGGGCTACCTGTATTGTTTCTTCTTTGTCTTGTATTAATCCCTGCTTATCTGAATGTGGGCTTCTGAGTTTTAGTCTTTTTGCTTCCTTCCTAGGTTTTTTATTGTCCCTTTTGAATACAGTGACCATATTTTCTTGGAAAAAATGAAGGACAAACCTGAAAAAGGGGAAAAATCTGAAAAAGGTTCATAAGAATTTTTTAAAAAAATTGTTTATGTTTATAACTTTGCTTTACAAAAGAAAATTCAAGAGCAAAACCAAGAAAAACTTTACAAAAACACATATTCTAATAAAAATATC